ATAAAGCTTCTGCCTTTGTCGTGATTTCGAACTGGAGGCAATATTTAGCACAGTATTGTACACATGTTCATGATACAAAGTTTTAAAAGTATACATTCTAGAATTTTATTCTCTAATTTCTAAATTATGATTTAAATGGTCACGTGGAAACAGATGAATTTTAGTATTCAAATCTAGATCAAAAGTATCTTCATATAAGATTAATCATATTTACACATTATCAGTTACAATATATTGTGATAAATAAATTTGGGGCAGTGTGATAAATTAGCAGTAAAACAAATTTAAAAATAAAAAGAGTAAATTATTTTGCTAACAACCAGAAAAGCAATGTATTAACATAAAGACTAGCCTTCCTATTTGTATTATACATTAAACCACTGTATTAGCAACAGACAATATAGGATTAGGAAAAAAAACAAGAAGAACAGGAAAATATGAAATCTCTAATAGAAGTTGCACTTCAATATACTATTAGTTTAGTCATTACTATCTATATTTTAGATAAGAGGAGTAAGATCTAGTGTTTGGTAGCACAAGTATAGTTAACAATAATTTATTGTACATTTTGAAACAAAGAATGTAACTGAAATATTTCTAACACCAAGAAATGATAACATACTTGTGATAGATATCCCAATTACCCTGATTTGATTATTACACATTGTACACTTTTATCAAAATATCACATGTATTCTATAAATATGTACAAATAATACATACCCATAAAAACTAAAAATTCAAAATGTATAAAATTAAAGATTACGTCACGAAGTCAAATCCAACATTCTCTTTATTGTAACGCTTACGTCATTTCCAAAGAAATTAAAATTTGAATAAAAACAATTACGAGAACTGAAAAATTCTTCAAGAATTCCTAACTAAAGAGATGGTAAAATGTAAACAGGATATTTTTTTAAATGTATACATATGGTACTTTTAAAAAGATAAGTGTCACTCTAGCATTATCTAAAATAAAGATCTAAATGGACAACACAATACATGAATAATATTGTCAATTATTGAAAATTATATTTTATATATTTCATATTATGCATAGTCTTTACGAAATAAATGTGATATCTGATTGTAGCAGTAACATGAAATATTCTGAAATCTATAGAAATATATACTACAGAACACAAATATTTCTGTATAACATTTTTTGAAACTTCTTTACTACATACTTAAATGATCTTTCCAAGGAGGAAACAAAATTCACAGTGGTATCATTGAGTCTGGAGAATTTGTCCACAGTGGAGACATAGGGAATTTCACTTTAATGGCAAGAGCAAGCATTTTGGGGTGGAAAGCTAGACATGATACTCTTCCATAAACTTGAAACTCTTGAAGGGTTGGACTGTATTTAAGGTGATCAGTAGAAAAGCAAAATCATATTTGAAAAAACGGTGACTGCATAATATATTATCCTTTTGACCTCTAATACAAAGAAAAAAAAGAAAAGAATCCATGATCAAGAGAGATGGTGCAGGGGGAGGGGATAGTTAAGAGAATAAAATAAAGAAAAAATTAACCACAGCCTCATTCACATTCAGTAGTTTGTGAGTTCATCACACCAGCTATGTGATCTTGTAATTTTGCAAACAAATTAAATTAATTTAAAGAAAAAACATATTCTCTCTAAGGAATGTCAAAACTTATATATATTGAGATAAATCAAATACAGTAAAAAGGGGCATAAATAATAGGCAGAGACCTAAATGCAATTTTACCTTGTTGATACACATAATTGTAAGGTTAATAAATAGCAACTTTTCATGGCATCTCTATTATTACAAAAGCACATGTGCCAAAAGTGAAAAAAGTTTCTGCAAACAAGAGAGTACACATCAGAGTCGCAAATGACAAGTCATCACAATTTGATGTTTTCCATCTTTCCAGGAATCATAGAAATTTAGGATAATTCCCGTATCAAACTGGCCTAGCAAAAGGATATAGGGAAGTTCAGAAATGTGCTATTTCCAAACATTCTTTATTGTAAATGCTTACTTTGTTAGCATGCATTGACAATAAAAGTTTTTCAAACATAAGCCAAAAACAAAATACTATGAGTTGGAGTTGTCATTAAAGGAAACAGCAGAACTACAAACCCAGAAATTTCAAACTCTGAAATCAAATGTAATTTGTGATGGTATAAATATTGTTTTAAAACATTGACAGAAATAAAATAATTAAAATTGCTATCCTGAGGGTGATTTTTAAAATTCTAATGCAGTTTCTAAATATCAAAAAAGGCATAAACTGTTATCACTGAAAATAAAAGCTCAGTGGATAGAGTAAACAGAATTTTGAACAAGCTACAGAATAAATTTATGACTGGAATCTCGATTAGAAGGAGAGAAAGCAGTAAAAAATAAAAAAGTGTAACCTGTTCAGTTCATGTTCATTGGTATCTCAAATGGAAAAAATAGACAGGATGAATGAAAAATTAATATTAGGAAAAAGAAAGAATAATTTTTCAGCACACAGCAAAGATAAACCAGTGGGATAAACTTGAGCATCCAGAAATAAATACATGCATCTATGGTCCACTGACCTACAACAACAGCATCACGATCATGGTGAAACATTGGTCTTTTCAACCAACAATGCTGAGATAACTGGATATTCATAAGAAAAAGATTAGATTAGAACCCTCTACCTCATATCGCATACAAAAATAACTGAAAATAGATCAAGTATCACTGTAAAACTCAGAGGAAAAAAAAATCTAGATGACCTTAATTAGGCAAAGTTATTTTAGATATGACACCACAAACACAATCAATTAAAAGAAAGATAAATCTGCCCTTACAAAAATTAAAAAATTTTGTACACCAAAGTACAAAGCAAAACAGTATCAATTAAGTGAAAATCAGCCCACCTAATGAGGAAAATAAATCCAAACCATATATTTAATAACAGGTTGGTATCTAAAATAATGAAAAACTCATAAATTGACAATACAAAGACAAACAATTTAAAAATGGACAAAAGATTTGAATAGACATTTCTTCAAAGAAAATACGCAAATGATTGATGCAAGCATTTATAAATAGTCTACATTATTAATAATAGTGGAAATAATAAATCAAAACCCACCTAAATGATTAGCTGGATTGAAGACACATGCAGCTACTAAGAAGGCTGAGATGGGAGGATTGCTTGAGTCCAGGGGACTGAGGTTGCTGAAGGGAGCGAGGAATGATCCATGTACTGCAGCCTGGGAGACAGAATAAGACCCTGGCTCAAAGGAAGAGTGGGGGAGGTGAGGAAGAGGGAAGGAAGGAGGAAGGGGGGAAGGGGAAAGGGGGGAAGGGGGGGAGAGGGAGAAGGGGAGAGGGAGAGTGTGTGAGAGAAAGAGAGAGAGAGAGAGAGACAGAGAGAGAGAGAGAGAGAGAGAGAGAGATAGAGTAGAGAGAGAAAGAAAGAAAAAGAGAGAGAGAGAGAGAGAGAGAAAGAAAGAAAAAGAGAGAGAGAGGAGAGAGAGAGAGAAAGAGAGGAAAAGAGAAAGAGAGAGAGAAAGACTAAATGAGATGTCACCTGGCTAAAATTTTAATAAATAAATAAATAAATACATAGAAGTTTGGTGAGGATGCTGAGAATCTGGAACCTTCCTCACTGCTGGGGAGAATGTAAAACAGCGAAGCCCCTTTGGAAAATCCAACAGCTGCTCCAAAAGTTAGACATAGAATTGGCAGTTCCACTCCTAAGCATGTGCCTACGAAGCTTGAAAAAAACACGTTTTTCATGCAGAAAAAAGGTTCAGTGCAGCAGTATTCATAATAGCCAAAAAGCAGAAACAACCTAAACGTCCATCAGCTAATGAACGAATAAGCAAAGGGCTGCATGTCCATACGACAGAATAGCATGTGGCCACAAAAGATAACGCATGGTTGCATGCTACAGTATGAATGCACTTTAAAAGCATTTTCTCTACTCTATCTATGAAGCAGCAGAAATAACTGTAGTTTGTTAGCTGGACCAACATAACAATATGGAAGTTTACTTATTCTGAGCCACAGAACCCAGGATTACTCTCTGATATGAGATACCTTCTGTTTTGTACCCCACATTTTTAGAATAAAATAATTTTTTTTTAAAAAAACCACTTTCTCAGGTACAAGAAGGCAGACGCAAGAGGCCACAGATGGTCTGACTTTGCTCCATGAAATGTCTGAAATATGCAAATGCATAGAGACAGAGAGTAAATCTGTGATTGTCGGGGAAGGGGAAAAATGAAGTATTGGGACAGACGGCCAGTCGGTATCAAGGGTTCCTGGGTGGGAGGGTGAGTGAGAGAATGTCCAGGAATTAGCTAGTTGTGATATTGTACAGTGACCCACTAACACGTGCATTTTAAAATAATGTACTGAAAAGTCTGCAATAAAGAACAACAGGCACATAGGGTTTTATATGGAGGCGCCACTAAACATTTAAGGAACAGTTACTTCCAAATCTGAAAACTAACGAGCATAAAATGCCAAACTAGCTTCATGAGACCAGTATCATTTGATTTAAAAAAAAAAAAAAAAACTCGGGAAAGCACCGCACGATCAAGTGACCATTACAAGACAATATCACTGATCACTGATGACAACAGGCGAGATAACATTTTAAACGATTACAAACGACATCAGGAGCCCGGGTGAGTTGCAAGGGAGCTCCCAGCCCGGGAGCGAAATAGGGGAGGCTGGTGGTGGCCGCCGCCGAGGTTTGTCCCCGCGCAAGGTGTGGCAGGGCTGCACCCCTGGGTCCCCTGGGACCCCCGCCTCTGCGGGCCCTGCCCACTACGTGTGCTGGCTGAGGCCAAGAGGGGGGTCAACGCACCCCCTGTGGGCCTGCGGTCCTTGAGGAAGGTAAGCCTTCTTCCAGAAGTCCACAGTCGAACTAGACAGACAACCAAGGGGCACCCGAACCTGACACTGGCTCACTGATCACCAGGACAAAGTTAGAGATCACACGACTCAAGCATAAGTTTTCCTAAGATGGCTGCAAAGATGTCTGATACAAAGGCTTGGGCTCAGTATGTGGTGGAATGGGCTGCCAAGGACCCAGATGGCCTGCTCACGACGGTTATTTTGGCTCTTACCCCCCTGCTCCTAGCAAGTGCTCTACTGTCTTGGAAATGGGTCAGAATGATTGAGGCCAGGGAGAAGGAGCAAAAGAAGAAGCAAAGACGTCAAGAAAATGCAGCAGCTAAACGGCTAAAAAAGGATCCAAAGAATGAACAGACTCTGCAACCAGAGGAAAATAATTTGGAAATGATGCGGCTTTGGAAGGACCTACTAAGGTTTCTTAAATGCATTTCTTGACAGTATTATTTAGTCAGTGAAATTCGACCAAACAAAGAATCATGTTATTTCTGACCTCAATACTGTAGTAAATTTTAGGCTTGGGTATAGAAGTTGGTTGGTAGCTATTGGCAGTTTTTGTAAATTAGCAACTTTTGTGGTATAAATTCTTTATAACTAACTTAGTTTTTTGCCACTTAGCCTTTTATGTACTGAAATGACAACATCCTGTGGGGAAAAATGATTTTAGATTAGGAACTCTATTCAGATGAGCCCTATTTACAATGTGGTCTTGTTCTGCCCAAAGAAAATTAAGAATGTTAAAGTCAGAATTGTCCTTTCTGGGGTGGAAAGTGTGCTTTGGCTTAAAAGAGATACAGTATATTAATCATATCTTTTATCGTTATTGCTTATTAGAATAGAATCATTTCTAGCTTTCTCAAGGCAAAATATTGAGTAGTTTTACTTGCTGCATTTTTCTTACTTTAGCCCTTGAGACAACTGGTAATTATAAAAGTAGTTTGCATTTTTTAAAACATAATTTTATAAATAATTCTCTTTTCAATGTAGAATACCACTTACTGGATGTAACATTTTAATATTCACAAACACTGCCGTTTTCTTAGAGATGATTTGTTAAGAAGAGTAGCATGATTTATAGCTTGCAGCAAAAATGCCAAACACTGTTGTACCTTGGAACTAGTTTATTTTTATGCTAAGAAGAACTGTGAAATAGTTAAAATGTCTTATCAGATAATTTGCTGATTATATAGACACCACTTTAGATTTTTATTCCATTCTTTGTTTTAATTCACGTGGTAGTAATGTCCAGTACATTGTGATTAAACAAGTTCAAAGTGAAAATGAAAATTTTAGATTTCTTTTAAAGAATTCTTAAAGAATAAGTTAAGTTTTCATAAATGGAAAGAAAGACTTGAAATTGATAGACATTTTCTTGAGGTACAGTAGTAATTGAGTGAAGGGATAAATTATTTCAAAATGAGAATGTGCTATAATCAGAAGTTAAAGGATGTTTCCTTCAAGTTAAGTAGTATAACTGGAAGTTTTTTACTAGTTAGTATGACTTTTACTATAAATGCATGGTCCAGTAATTTTATTCACTATCAGTATTTAATAGCTTATTGTTTTCTGTACCTGATAGTGAATTTTAAGTTACAAAAAATTGTCAAACAGCTCTAATTTAAAAATGAAACTAGATATTGAAATAAATTTGATAATTTTGTAAAAAAAAATCAGAAGCCCTCTTTTCTCTGTTTACATGCATTTATATATCCATACATATGTGTGAATATGATTGTTTGTAAAATATAATCAAGTTGAATTAATCCCAGAAATGCAAGAATGATTTAACGTTAGAAAATCTACAAATGTAAAGTATCACATTGAATAGATCAATATTTAAAATATCTCCAAGAAAATATGACAATATAAAATGAATATAAAACTTAAAAGCATTTAAATATAACTTCACATTACTGATTTAATACACATGTAGATAAATATAGCTAGATGACATAAATACAGGTATACAGATGTGACGATATTGAGGACGGAGATGACCTTTAGGGAGAGGGCAGATGCAGGTATCAGATGCAGGTATAAAATAGTTCAACTGTATTGATTCTATTTCATTTTTAAGCTAAGTAGTTGCGAGATGGGGGGTTGTGCATTTTACCTTTTATACTATTTATATTTGCATTATTTTATAAAGATGTTTATATCACCAAATTCATGATTCTGACTTTTTGTGAATTGAATTGTTCTAAGTGCTCCGCCTACCTAATACTCTTACCTGTAAATACAAGTTTCTAGCAATGTATACATTTCCAAGCTACTTAACATTTTTACACAAACCAAAATATTCAAATTCTATCTTTTACTTTAAAAAAAAAATCTATGGATGGGATTTAAAAGAATGATAAGTGCTATTTTCATATTTACACAAGGAAGACTTACTCAACATGCCAGCATAGACTCTTCTTTAGTTTTACCAATAATACTTACTTGTGCATTGAAGTAAACAACTTATTATTTTGCTAATTGACAAGAGTTTCTCTTAAAAGGAATTTGCAATCCATTAAGAAGAAATACCCTCATAAACTGCTTTTAATGAGAAAGACAAGAATAAAACAGAAGGTATAAGTGTGTGAGTGGAAATAAGAACAAAAACGACAAAATGAGAAATAAATGAAAGAAGAAAAGGATTAAGAAAAATATTCGAGGGAGAGAGAGAAGCAGAGAGAAAGAAGGACAGAGACAGAGACAGCAAGACAGGCACAGAGACATAGAAAGACAGAGAGATGAGAGAGACAGAGGAGACAGGGAGAGTGAGGGACAGTGAGGGAGAGAGACAGAGAGAGGGACAGAGAAAGACAGAGGCAGAGAGGGACAGAGAGAGAGAGACAGAGAGACTTTCTGTACAGGCACCTTTTAAGAATCAATGATAGCTGGAGCCCAGAAGGTGGACCCTGAGGTGGCCGTGAGTGTGCCACTGCACTCCAGCCCGGGCCACAGTGAGACTCCACTCGAAAAAAGAGAAAGAATCAATGATAATCCAAAAGCTTGCTTCGGCTTCATACTCCTAAAAATGAAGCTATTCATTACATAAAATATACATCAGTTTTCCAGGAAACTGTTTAATTTTAATTAAATACTTAAAATTTGAATTTTAATTCTGTTAAAAATTCCCCATTGATGGTTATGTCTTCCATTTCTCAAAACATAGTTTGAATTTTTAGTTTCTCAGAATTTTCTAGATACACAAAGTTTAAGACATCATTATCGCTACTCTTTATTTTTCATTATTTCTTTTCATTCATTTATGTCAATTCCACCTCTAGCATGGAAAATTTCTGATAAGAATATGGAAAATAAGGAATATTTTAAAATAAGGACAAACAATTGGAGCGAGATAACTTGTCTGTGAGCATGACACACACTACACTATTCACTGGAATAATTAGCACCCCAATCTAGTACAGTAACCATTTTATAAATGTATATTTTTAAGACTGAGGATGTCATTTTTGAGATAGTAACCCTGATACACTGTTGATAGTAGATAAGAAATTATACATCCTTTAATAATCTCTTGTGGTGATAGTTCAAAACCTGAATATCGTGCTTCATTTAATTCTCAAAGAAACCCTGTTGCTGAGTAATGTTCAAAATTTAGCTTATCGATAATCTGTCTAGGTTTGTGATTAAATTGTAAATTGTGAGCGAATATCATGCCTGCTTTATGCTTTCTTAGTTCTTCTATGTTATATAAATAGCACTTGCATTTTCATGGGCACTAAAGCAATATTTGTAGATGAAATTGTTTTTGAAATAACAAAGGTGAAATTAAACTTAAATTGGATATTATTGAAACAGAAATTTCCTTTATTTAGGACTTTTTTTGGGTAAATATCATATTGTCTCATTAAACATAGTGCACAGGTGCGCAGGCGCACACACACACACACAACATTGGTGGATCAGTACTCCTATAAGAGGTTTTCTACTCAAAACTTGGCTTACATGGAACAGAACTAAGGTCAAGAGAGAAAAAACAAGAGGATCTTTAAAAACTTGTATTTTACTTTTATCTTTACTACCAGGGCATGAGAAAGCAAGCTGTAAAGTCACATTTATTGCAAATGACGGAGAGATTAAATTTTTTTTTTTTTTTTGAATTGGAGTCTCACTCTGTCGCCCAGACTGGAGTGCAGTGGCCGCTCCTGGCCACCGAGTAGCCGGAATTACAGGCATGCGCTACCACGCCCGGCTGATTTTTTGATTTATTGTAGAGATGAGGTCTCGCTGCCCAGGCGGGTCTCGAACCCGTGGGCTCAGGCAATCCACTCACCTCAGCTTCCCAAAGGCGCATGATTACAGGCTGAGCCACCGGGCGCGGCGAGATTAAATTTTTAAAAAACATTTTAATCCATTGTATTCAATGCATAATTATTTACCAAGCAATGTCCTGGGTGTATCTATCTTAGAGATTCCCCCCCAAACTGTTCTCTGACCTTATGTAGCATACATGCATAGAAAGAGGTAGACATAAAACAAATGAACAGGGCCAGGTGTGGTGGCTCACACCTGTCATCTCAACACTCTGGAGCCTGAAGTGGGAGGATTGCCTGAGTCCAAGATTTGGAGACCAGCCTGGGCAGCATAGTGAGATCTCAGCTCCAAAAAAAAAAAAAAAATTAACCTGTCATCCGTCTACTGTGGGGCAATGAGACAGGGGAATCACTTGAGTCCAGGAGGTTGAGGCTACGTGAGCCGTGAGCCATGATCGTACCACTGCACCAGCCTGGGTGACAGAGTAAGTCCCTGACCCACCCCCAACACCACCTAAATGAACAAATAAATAAACAAATAAAATGAACAAGTAAATATTTGCAATGTTGAAAGATAATTGATACAGGGAAAAGGTGTTTTTTTCCTCCTGTTTTAACATTTATCTAATTATTTTAAAGGTCCTTATTTATGCAATGCCTATATGAATGCTTTCTAATCATATGTATTTAAATGCTTTTTTCCCTGCATTTATTCATTCTTTTCTTAAAAAAAAAAAAAAAAAGTAAATGCAAAATTTAAGTAGTGTATACTTCTGGGAAATGTATTTCTCTTTGTGCAGAAAATTGATCACCTTTTCAAATTCTCCCTATATTTTAAAATTATGCATCTACTTGCAAATGAAGGCTATTATGAGTGATGAGAAACTCATAATTTATTAAACCATCAGGTATTTTTTAATGCACTCGCTGTTTATGCCACTAAATTAGCCGAGAGATTGTACTTTTATTTATTTTAACGTGGCTTCACTGGCACTAAGAGAGAATGCCATTGCTTCGCAGCTTGGCAAGATTCTTGTCAATGGGAAATTTTTGCTGTCGTTATATTCTGTGTGAGGTTTTGAACAAATCTCGTACTTTATTTTCTGTCAATCCTAGAATGACTAAACATAATATGGTGTTCTTTGTGCGTTTTCATGAAAGCTAAGTAAA